CCGATTGAGTTGAAATTTTGTAGGAAGCTATAAAATACCATTATCTACAACTTTCATGTTTTAAACTAAGGCCAATTCGGCCTCTAACATGGAGCAACAAAACCGGGCAGAAAGGGGGGAAATTTTCCAGAAATCTGGAATTTGTTGATTTCAATGCAACCTTTCTTGATTTCTTACTTCCAATACTACCAAAGCCCCTTATATAATGTTATATACAACATATATTAATCATACATCAAGTTTGGCAGCAATTCCCCCAAACCCTAACTCATATGTCCACAAGAAAAACAACCCCCAAGACATGCTACAACCGTTATTCATCACAAACTTCAGTTACTAAGCTAATTTACACAAGATTGAAAGTAAGAATTAGAGAAATCATCATCCTTGCCTTGATTAGTATCCACCAAGTGAAACCCTAGCTTTCCCTTTCAAAATCTCACCAACACTTCACTAACTAAACACTCAAAGGTGAGTTTAATCGGTTTATTTTCTTTGTTTCCTCCCTTGGTTGCTAGATTCAAGAAGAAATGAAGAAGTTTTTCTCTTGTTCTTTCCCTCTCTCTCTCTCTCTCTCTCTCGGCTCTTCAGCAGAAAAATGAAGGAGTATGGAGCAATTTGGGGGATAAGAAGGTTGGACAATTGTCTTGGTCAATGGCCCCTAATGGTGTGACACTTGTCACATCCCTTACCAAGTAAAATTTTCTTTTTCTCTCTTGTATTTTCAGCCTTTAATTTCGGTCAAGCTTAGCTGGAAATTAGGAGATATTTTGCTCAAATATTAATGAGCTTGTATGGTAAGAAAGTGGTGGTCAAGTGGTGTGTTCAATCGGTAGTGCGCGGGACCCGCCGGTTCGCGCCGTTTTTCTTAAAAACACACATACTAGGGTTTTTACTTCCTATTCACCAACCTTATCTCATTGCTCCTAATCATATTTTATTTCTCACTTAAAAGTCACTTTTAATCACCAAATTTGATCCTTGCTTCGTTCCGAAAATTCATCCGGCGAAAAATCGCGAAAACCCTAATTTTGCTCCAACCCCGAAACCGAAGAGTGAAACCCTACTTTCTAGGTTTATTTACACTTATTGTGGTAGGATTGGGTAGGAGGGCTTGAATAAATATTAATTTCAAATAAAAGGCATTTTTGAGGAAAAATATAAGAAATTTGCGAATCCTCACAATAGGTACATTGTATCACTAAATGAATTCATAAAACTAATCATCACATAGGTTACACACTTCAAGCTATAAGTTACACTTTTCAATGATTGAATTTGTAGCTGAAATTTCATTAAAGAATTTGTAATTTATTGTGTTTGAATTTCAAATAAACATGTGACATTTTTAATTAAAATATCTAACAATCCCCCACTTATTTAATAAAAAATAATATAGTATTCAATACTAAACACTTAATAGGGCAAAGATTAAAAGTTCATGCATAATAAAGGTGGCAGTGTCTTTAAACCTTCACTTAGCATTCAACAATTCCCGTACTAAAGTGAAGGTGGATTTAGCCTTTAAATGATGATAACTTGAGGGCACGTGGAATCATATCACATACATGAACCTTTCAATGTTCTAAAACAGGTTTCATAAGCAAACACATTTATGGCCTTGTGCTTTATTCTAGTTTTCATGACAGCCCTAGAGAACTAATCCAAATTCTCGTAGGAAACGACCCCACGTCCACAATTATATAGGTGAATCTATCAAGAATGCTCCCACGATTTAGACATCCTACCCATAAGGGCTACCCATAAGGACTTGAAATTCTCAACCTCACTTATCGTGATTCCATCACTAATGCACTTATGCCATAGAGATAGACAATTTAATCAAAATAATGTATATTAATCAATCAAACCACTCTATGATTCGTTTGTCTCCAACCTAGTTCTTGGGATCTCCAGTCCCTAAGCAATTGTATTCTCGTAGACGATTTTTAATATATATTGGGCCTTTGTCGTATCCCCTTCAATGTATATCATATCTTTGACTTAAATTTGGTATTTATCTTTTACAGAAATAAAATAGCAAACATATGATGTTCTCGAAATTTTCCAAATAATCTCTCTTAGTGGGCCAAATATATTGAATCAATTTCTAGTGAGAAAATTTTTCATCTATTTATATTTGCCAAATAGTATAGGCATATATTTGTTCATATTCAACTTTTTCACTTTTTTCTCAATGGCTAGTAGTCTAGTAGCGCACTAGAAGCCCTTCTCAAAAAACTCCATGGTTATTTTTGCTTTTGCAAAAATGCCAAGAAAATAATTCAAATACCTTCACATCAGGTCATACTTTTCAGTGAGTGCTAGTCTACATAACTCAAAAAAAGAGTGAAAATAAATCCAAAAAATCATAATAATGTTATACTCATAAATTGAGCAAATAAAATGATATCTCATTATTTTTTCATCACTTCCACTATCACGGTGTTTTATTTCAAAAATACATTTATCAAGAGTTGCACGAGACATCAAAATGGTAGCAAATTTGAAAATATATTAAAATCCTTCACCTTCCAATAGAGGAGTAGTGATGCATACTATCACTTCATAATGCTCCAATTCCGACTTTTCCTTTTCATCAATACATGCCAACAAATAATACTAATTTAAGGAAGCCATTACTGTATGCAAAAAATAACTTGAGATAGTCACTTGACAAAACTATTGCTTATAGCAATTAAGAACAAATTTCATAGTAGCCATAGAGATTTACTTACCCCCACTATTTATCATATTTCTATAGGATGTGATGCGATTTTGAGATACAAAGATATTTGTTCTAAGATTACTGCCACATAGAATGACTTAAGTACTCAATGGCTTATTGCCATTATCAATCACTAGATCTATTGACAGTTATCCAAAGCTAATAATCTGTACCAGTTATCACCAACAAGCAACTATGATACTCGACTATGAAATTTTAAAACCAGAGACGTGGCATCTCAAAGGAGTGAGAAAAATTAGGTCTAGGTACAAAATATGTCAATAATCGAAATTGTAGAGAAAGACATTTTTCATAAGCTAAGATAATTGACAATTTCAAATTTTGTACAAAGTAGCATGTTTAGTTTCTCAAATTTGTTCTTATATTGCCACAATATCTAGCCTCTAATTTTTCAGGTTACTCACACACTAATAAGCAATAAAAACTTAGCTAAGACTCACTAATGCACCTGAGTCTAAAGGAAACCACAAATCCAATGATTTTTCCTTAATCACGCTAGTCAAGATTAAGCAAAAATTTCTTTTGCAATAAGAGGCTAATTGTCTTAAAATTGTTGGTTTTAGATCAAAATAATCATATAAATAACAATAATTTCTCTAATAAAATTTAACAAATAAATTAACAAAAATCTCATACCTCAATATTGCATTAAAAAATGCAAATAATATGTACCATAAAAAGTTAATTTGGCGTGGGTTGAAACACAAAATAGGTCACTTTCTTTAAGATGATTCGCACCTCTACGAAATATCCTTTGGTGTAGTAAGTCTCAATGTGTCGCCTCTAAAATAAAATAACCCAATCTATCTCACTAGTCTACTCCAATTTACATTGTTGAAGTAAGACAGAAACTTTACATAACACCGTCTTTGCCCTATAAACTCTTATAGTAGTGAGAGAAAGTAAAATAGAAGATAGTCTAGAAATAGCAAAATATGTGTAAGACTCAGTAGATAGAAACCTCCATTTATAGGCAGAGAAATTGGGAGTATTAAAATACTAATATTAAGAGAAATTAACGCCTCATATTTTCAACTACAAATTGAAAAGTTCTAGGTTCATTGTATAACGATAAAAATTCACTAAATGAATTCATAAAACTAATTATTACTTAGGTTACACAATTCAAGACATAAATCTAAGTCTCATTTTAAAGACATATGTTACACTTTTGAATATAGTTATTAAACCCAACCTGTTATATTTATTCCTTCAAAATAACTAATTTTCTGAAAATTTTAAAGGATAAAAATCTAAAAGCATCATATTCACGTGCAAAGCACGTGCTCCATGACTAGTTAGAAGAAAAGGGCATTAGGCATCACTGAAAACTTAGACAGAAATTTGCTTACACTCTCATCTACTAAGACTCGCTGTACTATGATAGGGGGTACAAATAGATAGATATATATAGATACGAGAGAAAGAAGAAATCATTTGCATATTCCAAAAAAACTATCAATGATTATGCTGATATGAAGGAGAAGAAAGGTATGACACCAAAAGGTATGATCATTTTTCAGTGACCCCCAAAATGACAAGAAAAATATAAACTTAAAGACATAGAAAAGAAATTATGTTTTAATTTTTACCAAAATATGCTTCTCGAGCTTTAGTTGCATCATACAGAAGACTCATTGCTGCAGAAGACTTGTCCAGCTGTGATCTGCAGTTGAAGGAATTAACAAATCAATAATGCAAAACGTAGAAAGCATAAACATGTTCATCATGACTAGCAACATCCCATTTGGAGAATTTCACATCGAGAACTGATGAAGAAGTTCTGATACTAACAAACCAAAATTAGATATATTCATATCCAAAAGGAAAAAGATCGAAAAGTTGAAAAAATAGAACAAAAGAAAATATGGAAACAAATTGGAGACGGCGAAAAGGAGAGATTTTTTTTGTGGAAACCCAACAAAAGAATTACAAGTGATTTGAAGGTTGAGAATCTTACAAGGTAAATACTGAACAGTCATCTGACCAACAAAGATATGAGGTATATGGTTAATCTTAGACCACTCAGAGTCAGGGCCGCTTTGAGGAGTACATAGTTCCTCCAACAAGGGACAGTGTTTGATGCACAATTCACTTAACTTAGTGAGGCGTCTCATAGCAGCCATGGAGGGTAAAGTTCGAAGTTTAGCACAATTCACTACTTCTAGTTCTTCAAGATGAACAAGGTTCCCCAACCATTCTGGTAAAGCTTCTATTCCAAAGCCAAATAGATGTAATTCTATCAGGGCAGTCAGATTTTGAAGTTGATTTGGCAGGGACTCAGAGCGAGGCCACCCCTGTAATGTCAGTTTTCGGACAGGAAAAAAAGAACATAAAGCTAACCAATCATATCCATAGTTCTCCATTGAAGTATCTGAGAAGGGACCAATACATAATTCCCTTAAGCTGGTAAGACCACCAAATCCTTGGGGCATAGTGGTTAACTTGGGACAGTTACTTAGCCATAACACTGAAAGAGAAGGCATCTGTTGCAAATCAACTGGAAACCACACAAGATTGTGGCATTCGTACAGTCTGAGTTCCCGGAGAGATGTATTGAGCTCTAAAATTTCACTTGGAAGACTTCTCAAGCCATTGCATTGACCAATTGTCAAACTTCGAAGAGATTTGAGATGTTGCTGGTCATTTGGAACTATAAGATCGATAGTCTTGAGATTAGGACACCTTACTACTGACAAGTGTTCCAAAGAAAGCAACTTATGCAAGTCACCTAGATGCAGTAAATGAGGACAGCTCTCTAATGACAGGTATTTTAAATTTTGGCTGTTGTGAACTGCTAACACATCAGAAACGCATGTGAGTCCTGCCTGGCCTCCTATACTGAGTGTTGAGAGAGTGGTCGCTTTGCTCAAAATATCTTTTAACACCAAAGCATGGCTTTTATTCGGTGTTTTCAACTGATAATACAAACCATCACGATAATTTTCAATTACCAATTGTCTAAGGCATGGGAAATAATTTGGAGCTCTGTTTAGTTTACAGCAATTCTGTATCTTCAATGTCTCCAGCATGGGGAACACATCTAATACTTCACCTTCTGTTGCTTCTGCCTCCATCCACTCAACGAGATTGTTCATATTGTAGAGGTAGAGACATTTAAGATGTGGAAACACCTTTCTAGACAATTGACTAGAACTACGAGAGCTTCTGGATCCACTTGGATTGCATAAGCCATAGAATGAATGCCCAATGACTGTTACCTTTTCCAGTCCAATCATGGCCAGAGACTGGAGAAATGGCAGTTGTCCAAGTGCAGGAAGCTCTGTGCATCTTCTGCAGTTTATTAGCCGTAGACATACCAATTTGTCGAGACTTGTTGACAGATTCATCAACCACAGTGGAAATCGATTACTCATGAAATTTTCAACTTCTAATACTTGCAGATTGGGGTGAGGTTGGAGGCCATCCAACACATTTATATCAGCACCGTCAACTTCCCATCTACCACCCCATTCAAGTGATAGCGAAGACAAATTCTGCTTTTCGAACAATTTTGCCCTTTCAGCTGCTTCTTTGCCTTCTACTAGTTCAAGATTGCGGATCCTCAGGAAACCTTTCAGGTCTCTTAAGCATCCAAGCTCTTCAATTTGGCGTCCTTTCTCTTCACCAACATTGAAGAAGTCCAGCGTTTGAAGACAAGTTAATCTCCCCATCCCTAGCGGCATCTGCACTTTTCTATCATTATTGTAATAGGATAGATGTCTCAAGCTAATCAACTTGCTCATCTGCTCTGGAAGGTCCATTGGAGAAATGCAATTGAACTTCAGAGTCTGCAAATTATAAAGCTTGCAAAGAGATTCTGGCAAAGTTTTTATTTGAGTGTGTGGAAACTCAAGATAGCGCAGATGGATTAGTTTACCAATTGATGTTGGCAACTCCACAGTATTTGCTGAAGACAAGTCTAGAACACGCAAGTTCTTCAACTTTGGTACTAGGTCCTCCGATATAGGACTCCTTGGAAATAATGAACGAAGTGAACTAGATATGACTTCAGAGTTTTTTGGTGTAATTTCTCCAGATGAGTTTAAAACAATGCTTTCACATCTCGAAATAGATTGTGCAAGGTCATGTACGAGATCATGCATTCGACCAAATGTCCGCTTATCACTGCTAATTTCTTCATGCAACAAGGAACTGTCCACCAAAACTCTGAAATACTTATCACCTATTTCCTCCATTACTTCATTTTCAAGATTTGATTGAAGAAATCCCTCTGCCATCCAAAGTTGGATTAACTTCCTCCTTTCTATCTTGAAATCCTTGCAAAACATCGAGCAGTATGCAAAGCATTTTTTAATGGATAGAGATGGCAAATGATCAAAGCTCAGCTTGAGTATTTGCATGACACTACAGTCATCTCCAGTAGACTTCAAAAGCCCATTCTTCACAATTGAGAGCCACTCCTCCTTCCTTGTCATACGCAACATACCTCCAATAACAATTGCAACAAGTGGTAGACCTTGGCACCATTTTGTGATTTCCTTTTCTTGTACTTGCAATTCTTCTGGTACTTCCCCACTTCCTATCATTTTGTCTTTTATTATAGTCCAGCAATCATCATCAGATAGCTTCCCTAATGAATAGGGAGGATATGTAGCCACAACGGTTGCCACTTGTAGCTGACGAGTAGTCACAAGACACCAGTTTCCTCTGGTCGTGCTTATTCCAGTCAAAGAACGATAAAAATCCGTCCAGAGTAAAGGAATTTCATTCCAAAGATCATCCAATACAAGAAGATATCGTTTGCCCTCGATTTCTTTTCGAATCTCTTGGACAATAACGTCTCTACTAGCTACATCAACTTTGCGTCTTGTCAACGATTCCAAGATTAGTCTGAATATCCTAGTGACCTCAAAATCTTCAGATACACAAACCCAAATCTTTAAATCGAAATGCCTCTCGATTTGCTGGTCGTTGAAAATTGACTGAGCCAGAGTTGTTTTTCCCAAACCACCCATTCCAGTTATGGGCAAAACATAAATAACATTGCTGGTCTCACTCGAAATCTTCTGCACTATTTTGAACTTATCATGCTCTCTACCCACAATATTAGGAAAAACAACGGAGTCAGTCTCACGATTGACCATCACAGTTCTACTAATGTCGGGAAGCAGAGTAGCTTTTGTACCACTACCCCCCAATTGGGACTTGAGTCCAAAGCTATTCGCTTCTTCATTAATAATGTTCAACTTCTTGTTCAAATCCCTTATCTTTTGACCCATTTTCCAACGAAAACCAATTGAGTTAGAATGGAAAAGAGAGCGTACCTTTCCTTTCAGTTGGTTACCATTTCTCTTTCCGGTCTCTACCTGTTGTCTTAGAACATCATAGTTGAGCTCATCCAACACGTTATCAGCTTCATAAGCCAGTCCTTCAAGTCTCTTCAGCCAAAGCTGCACTGCCTGCTGCTTCGGCTGCTCTTCCTCAGCATCAGCCAAGACAGCTAGGATCATCTCCACAGATGCTTTGAACTTCACCAGATCCTCCTTGAATCCATAAACCACGCCAATCTGGTCACTAGCAATGCCAACTGCCTTCTCTAACGTAATCCTTATGGTAGCACCAACAAGAGCATCAGCCATTCTTGATTTCTCGATCACACTACAGTTTTCTTTTTGTGTTTTTGGGAAAAGGGTTCGTGAGTTATGTTCTTGAAGAGATGTCAATGGGGGGCTAGAATCGCTGCCTTAAGGTTAAGGTTCAATTTTGTATGACTGTTGACGCGGAATGCATTATAGTGTAAATTAAACAAAGACTTTGCCAGTCATGTAAGTGTGAAAGCATTTTTTTTTAATGGGTATTGAAACTTGAAAGAAACTGCATTAAGAAGAAAATTAATATAATCAAGGGATTATTTTTAATACACTGTTTGTGTAAATATTTTTTTTACACACAAGCAGATTTAAATGAATGTCGCATTATCACTGTTCAAATTTTAAATTTACTTTTTGTCCATGTGTCATATATCTATATCTGTTAATGTAAAAAAATTTTAGGCCATGCTTGGATTGCTTGTTTCCGTCGGAAAATATTGTTATTTTTCGTGATCACATTTCTCTATCACTTTTTTCTCTTACATATATCAAATCGCTACAGTAATTTTTCCATGAAAAATGACGGAAAATGCAATCCAAACACAACCTTACATTAACAGTGTGTATAACATTAATCCAAATAATCAACATTACGTATACTATTTATGCATTTCTTGATTCTACGTGTTTTGGTACAACTTCTTCTTCTTTTACCTCTTTTGGTGAGAAATGTTTCTGCCATATTTTGGTTCTCTTTTGTTAATCAAAGGATAAGAATTGACGAGAAAGTATTGACTTTAAATAGATTATGAATCTCTTTCTATAGGACAATTGTTGATGATTTATGTACATACATTACACTTAAAAGTTCTATTAACACGTTTCCTTTAGTTCATTAGTAATTTTTTAAGTAACTTGCTCCCTCTCAATTGCCAAAGTTGATTTATAATATCTTGTAATTTTGACTTAATTCGGTTCATCAGAGGTTCTTTTCCTAATCTTTTTTAAAGATAAGTAAGATAAATTGATGGATTCTGCGTTTACCTGAAAAATAAAAAGGAAAAGAAAGTACGGAGAGCTAAAATGCATTGCACCCCAGATCTGACTTCGGAGGTCCCCTCCCTTTTTTTCCCTTCTTTTTTTTTTGGGCTGTAAATTCAACCTGCTCTGTTTTTTAGTGCTGGTGTCAACATGTAGGTGAAATGAGGGCCTGTTTGGAACCCCCAAGTTTTTTCCAGGTTTATATACTACTAGTTTTTTTGATAACTTTTGTTACAAAAACTCTAAAGAATTTATCAAAATTTTTAACCTACAAACTTAAAAAAATTTTCCCTTCAACTTTTCTAATACACAAAAAATTTCCGAAAAACTTTTCTTGAGAGAGAGAACTTTTCTTCATTGGCATCAGAGAGTTCTTTCTTCTGGTGAACTTTCCCTTCAACTTCTCCCACGGTCTGGCACCAGAGGGAAAAGTTCTCCAACAAAAAATTTCCCTGCAACTTCACCAGCGGCATCAGAGAGCGGATTATTAAACTTGAGGAAAGGTTTGACTTTTCTTTTTTTTTTTTTAAACTTAAGGCGAGGGTAGCTGGGCAAGGGGGAAGGGGGGAAGACGGGGAGAGGGAAAATTGCAACAAAAATAAAAAGTTTCTGTACCTGACCTGTCCAGCAAGAGATGGAGAGAAGAGGGGAGGAGAGGGAGAGGGAAAATTGAAAAAAAAAAGTTTATGTTGCTCCCACCTCTGCCAGCAGGGGAAGCAGCGGCGGCGAGGGAAGGGCAGAGGGGAGGAGAGGGGGAGAGGGAGAGGGAAAATTAGAAAAAAAAAAAAAAGATTTCTGCTGCTGCCTCCCCTGCAGGTAGGTGAAGCAGTGGCGGGCGAGGGGGAAGGGTAGAGGGGAGGAGAGGGGGAGAGGGAGAGGGAGAAAAGAGGTGGTCCTGAATCTGTTGCTTGGGTAGAGATAAAATGCAAAAAAAAAAAAAAAAAAAAAAGCCTTGAATCTGCCGCTTCATTGGCAGCTTCGAGAGAGGGAACAGGGGAGGGATGGGGGAAGGGGCAGGGAGAAGAAGCGGGAACGGAGGAAAGAAAAGAAAAAAGAAAATGTAAGAAAGAAAATGAAAAGGAAAAAAAGTTTTTTCTCTTACAAAAATTTTTCTACAATTTCTACACTGATCGACAATAAAATTTTAGATAAATTTTAAAAAAACTCAGATTCCAAACGAGGATAAACTAATCAACAGATTAGTTAGCAGGACAAAAAAAGAAATATTTTTGGATGGAGACTACAGATTAATTCTTTTTTCCTTTATAGAAGGTTTAACATTTTGATTTAATTTATGGATGGGAAGAATTAACAATTTTTTTGGTGAAATATTTGTGGAATCAGACTCTGTTGTGATATTCTGGCATTATTCTGATTTCAAGGCAACCTAAGCTTGGTGAACAAGCAGCCAAAGATGTCCTCCTGATTAAACAATCAAAGAATATTGTTGTTCATGGACTGTTATTGTTATTATTTTGGGGTCAAATCGTTCATGGTCTATTTTAGTCATTGCAATTCTTGGTTTTCAATACCGTGTATAAGCTACTTTGTTGCTCTCCCAAGTTTCAAGGTTCCTTCACAACCCCAAAAAATACCGTGCATAAGCTACTTTGTATACCAATTTTAATCCCCGGACTTCAAAATTTAGAAGCCAGATGACAGCAAATCAATGGTCTCTTATCAAAAGTTACGAAAATAAAAATATGGATAATGTTACTATGACTTTCAAAGATTATTTTATTGTATATTAATCCCAAATTTAACTCTTATCAACAAGACACTAAATTAATCAAAATTTTACAAACTAATCACTTTTATATGCATGTACCTATATAAATTATGATGTATGGTATTGCTATTTTGTATATAACTCGAAAATTTTGTTATTATCCTTACACATATTTTTTAAACTTTTTCCAAAAATAGTAATATAATTCATGAAGTACGATAAGTCAAAAGTTTATTACATGCCTTGTACAATTGAAAAGTATGAGTAATTTTTGAATTATTTTGAAGTGTACGAAAAACATAAGTAGGACGTTTAGTGTTACTATTATTTTCCTCCTTAACGTTACTTTTTTAATCACTTTATCTAGGGATGGCAATGGGGGCGGGTGCCCGCTCACGGGGCGGGGGGGAATTTTTTCCCCCCGCTTAGAAACGGGGCGGGGGGCGGGGGAGTATACCCCCACCCCGCCACCCGCAAAACAAAAAAAAATAAAAAATATATATATATATATATAAATGACTATATATTATATGTAAGTTAATTAGTTATAAACTTATGATAATGATATTATTAGTTAGATGTATTATATAATGTATATTAGTTTATGTAATATAATTGATATTATCAATTATATGACTAATTATACATGTCTACTAATAGAATTTATTAATTAGTTATACTAAATTTACTAATACATTTATACTAAATTTCTAATTACACTTAATAGAATAACACTTTTTTCTCAAAAAAAGCACAAACACAATGATGAATTAGTGATTGCATTTGTACTAAAAGTGAAAATTTGACTATTTTAGTTATATTTATTTCATCATATTGGATTGTATTCAAATAACTTCTGTTTGATTGTTTTTATGAGTTTCAATTGTAAAATTACAATGAATAATAATTTGGTGATATGTTGATATTTTAGTACTTGATTATTTATTAAAATTTAATTATAATAAAATTATATAGTAAAATTTTATTAACCCCGCGGGGGAAGCGGGGCAAGGCGGGGCGGGGCGGGGCGGGGGACGAGGGAGGGGTCCCCCGCCCCAACCCCGCCCCGTTGCCAACCCTAACTTTACCCCCAAGACTAACGGTCAAACTTAAAAGATTTTGTTAATTCAAGTGAAGAGATATGTTTAGTCTTTAACATTATCATCACTTTAACCAATAAACTATAGTTATCAATTGACCCCCTAAAGTTATTTTCTAGACAATTTAGCTCCTAAAGTAATATGATAATATTAGATTCTTCATTCTTTTCTTTCTTTGCAAAATCTAATTTTCTGTCATTTTCTGACCCTTACCCCCAGCATATTAGTGGCTACCCGTTGAGATAGGGTCGAGTCAACGACATCCATTTCGCCCCGTTTATCATTTAATTTTTTTTAAAAAATAATTATACTAATTTAATTTTGTATTTTACATATTTATCTAAGATTTAATAATTTTTTTAAAAAAAAATCTCCCTCCAAGAAACAAACATGCAAAGAGAATATAAGAAAAAGGAAAAAAAAAATTAAAAGGATTCAAAATCAATGAAAATTTAAAATAAATACTACATTTTTTAAATATATATTCCACATTAATTAAACTCTTTTCTCAAAAACATAAGATCATGACCTCTATAAATGAATATTGTAAACAAATTATAGTCTCCCATATTTATAATGCAATTTGTTCAATGAAATTGCTTATTTAGTTCTAAAAATATTATTTTGTAGTATGTGTATAAAAATAAAAAAATATATGTCCGGCGGGTCGTTTACCTGCTGGTTTTTTATTATGTGATTCTAACCTGCCTCACATCTAAATGGATATCCAACCCTCTTTTGACCCGGTCAAATAATATGGATCGAATATCCTAATTTTCGAATCAAACCGGATCAGATATGGTGGATTTTTTAATTAGCAGATATTTTTGCTCACCCCTAACGTCGATACCCAAAAAAAAAAGAGTTACTTGAAGATTCTACTTTTCCAATCTAGGGCAATCCTGAATTCTCAAAGCTTTAATATTTGGTAATCTATATCCAAATTTGACGAAAACTTGCCTGGTATACTAACACAAGCCAGCCATAGAAACTTGAGGTCTTGGCATGGATACAGTCTAAGCATGGTCCAACATCTAGTGATTTTTTACCACAAGCAAAGAATTCCAGGCAAGCTGCTTCGACTATAAGCTATCTATCCATCTCGAGTAGACAAGTGAGCCATAAATCTGCTTAAGATTTTGAAGCTTAGTCACAATAAGATCTTTCATGCCAAAACAGTAGTCATGTTCCAAGATTGCAATCAATTGACAACTCGAAATGATATCCTGGGACATTACCTGATCTAAGCATGTCCCAGAAGAGACACAGTTGTTTGAGACACTAGTAGTAGTACATTATTTTCTTATTGGATTCTAGTTTTAAGCAGCATTGCTAATATGTAAATCTACGAGAGAATTTGCTCCAAGAACTATCTGAGGCAAATTATAAGAATGGATATGGATTTGGATTTTGCTGCACCACTTTCTACAGCATTTTTCATCCGTCTTTCAGCAATGGAAGCCAAAACTACATTAGCAGATGAAAATTCCTGCTCAACTCAAGCTTAAAAGTTTCTACCTTACCTATTTTCTGCTTCTTGTACACCAGCAAGGTGCGGTCCGTGTATTTAAAGAACTTCATGCATCTCTCTTTCTTTGTTACAGGATCCTACTGGTGATATCATTTTGTTTTCAATTCCTTAAAAAAGAACAAGCTATTATTGAGTTCCAAAGTCGGGTGTGCACATTGCTCAACCATGCCTGAGAAAAGATGTTGGTTTTGGCTGCATCTTTGGTAGTGAGAAGAGAGGCTATATGTTGTATAATGTCTTCCGCCAATTCTATAAGGACCTCAGAGGTCTGCCATTGATAGATGGATAGTTAAAAGATTCTAAAACTGCAGCAAACAGTCAAGAGGTAGAAAACAATGACATCTTCTTGGCTAGGACACTATAGGGTATTTAAGCATTACAAATTAGTTCAATAATTACAATTTCCTAGAAATCTGGCCTAGAGAGTCCTGGATGAAGATTCCCTTTGGATTAGTGAATTTGCTGCAACTAAAATTTCAATGTTTGTGGCACAAATTCAAATAGGACTCAACCAGGGAAGAAGAAGAAAAGGAGGGAAACTAGAGTTACCTCTGTACTGCTCCTATTTTTTTTTTTTTTTTTCCAAATTAAAGCATTTAAAAGATCAGAGACAATAATTTCGATGTGAAACCAATTTTACTTTTTGAAGAAAAGCCAATTCAGGGTATTGTATTGTTTCTGGTATGTTACATGTATTGTGGATGGGGACTTTGCACTTCTCAATGTTTGTTTCCTATGCTCAAATGCAGAATTGACCATTCAACTGCTGTTTTAAGTCTAAACTTTCCAGGAGCTAAATCTGGTTTATTATAGTCCAAAACAACAATGGGCAGTACCCACCGCAAGCAATACACTATGTAAAACCAAAAGAAGTCGAATTTGTAAAGTATTTGCCATATTTGAACAGAGTGAGCTGATTTTTAGCTATCAAAACATTCAGTCTAGAACAGCAAACAAACAAGCTAATAATTGGTTTCAGAAAGATAACAATCATTTCATTAATGCAATTGTTCATCATACTTTAATTGATTGAAGGGGAACGAAAGAAAATTGCACCTGCACTATGAAAATTCAAGGACAATTATGTGTTCTTATCATTATCTGCAGCAAACAAATTGTGATGAAATGTTGAGAGTGGCTCAAGAAAACTATCCAGCCACCAGAAACCCCTTGTGGTCTCTTACTCTGTGTGTGTGTGTGTGTGTGGGGCGGGGGGGGGGCCAAAGCAAATTATACTGGATAGATAGGAAGGATTGCAGATAAACATTCAAAAACGCATGTGAGTTTTCAAAAATATCCTTAAATATCATTTACAAGAATCAAGTTATAAGAGAAAATAATAGTTTGGGAGCTTATAGGATAGAACTCAGGAAATGCACATATCTAGAATGAATAGCTGCTAAGACTTGCAGTATGAAATCTGTAGTGTTGGGGCTGCTCCGAGAGGTGCATCTTTCCTGCACAGCTACTTTAAAAGACAAATAATTCATTGTTCAAAAAAAAAAAGAAGACAAATAATTCATGAACAGAAAAGCACAAGAACAAGAAGAAATAACAAGCTAGGAACTTGCATGCAGCGATCTGCTGGTTGGAAATCAAGCAACATCTGCTGTTTTCATGAATCTTTCTGAGAAGGAAATTAAGAAAAACATGGTAAGGGTCAAAAGAATCCCACACTTTGTATCAAGCTCAAAAAGTACTTATAGCAGGAAAGCAGAAATGGTAGACATTGGTTGAAATGAAGAGAAGAGACATTGAGCAGGAGTACAACTCAAGTTTGAGCACTTTATTATACTTCGACAGACAATACAACTGCAAATATTATTATTGAATACAGTATATGACCAACACAGAGAGTATTTTTATCCGCACAATACACTGACTAGACAAAGTACGAGTCTTCACACTTGTATGTCACTTTGCAGTGCTCACTCAATTAACCAGAGCTTGCTGTTTTGCTCTGCTTGGTTCGTACAATTGAAATATAGTCCTATTCGAAAGACAATGAAATAGAAGCAATTGTGGCTGCTGAAGATGTATTCCTTTTAACCATAAATGGGAGCAGTGGTTTACTGCAACCCCTTTGGAATAGTTGACATGACATTTTCCAAGTAGTCATGGCAATGCTTACAGTTCAAATTTGTCTGGCCAATTAAGAAAGTTGTCAGTACCAATATTCAAACAGACAAATACTTATGCACAACAAATGGAAAGTGAAAAGAAAACGAGAGAGAATGTTCAAGGAGAAGAGAAGAGAATCATTTTTTTGGGGAATAAAAAGCAAAGATATACCCAAATTAGCAATTATGGGAATGATAAGAAAATGCATCAGATAGTAGAATCTTACCAGACAGAATGAAATTTCAGTAAGCCCCAATAGGTTTGTCCTCAAATTGAATGTGGGAAATATTAAAAATCTTGGGCCACTCGGATGTAGCGCCAGGAGTGAAATTTTTCTCTAGGAGAGAACAACCAAAACTTCCCAGGAATTTTAATTTGGTGAGGCGCCTCATGGCAGCAGTGGAAGGTAAATGCTGAAGCTTTTCACAACCATCTAGCCGTAGTTCCTCAAGGGATGCAAGATTCGCCAACCAGTCTGGTAAAACTTCCACTCCAAAACCATGTAGACCTAGTGCTGTCAGGCTAGTAAGGTATTGAAGCTGTACGGGCAAAGAGTCTGATTGAGGCTGACCAACCAATGATAGTCTCTGAACAGAAGAGGAAGCCAATGCTGATAACCATTCATTCTCCGTGTGGGAATCTAAGAAGGGACCAACATGCAACATACTCAAGCTGGAAACCTGATCTAGTCCTTTAGGAATAGTGGTCAGCTTTGGACACCCGAACAATGCTAATGAAACAAGAGACGGCATTTGCCGCAAATCAATTGGAAAGGAGACAAGGTTGGGGCACTTACACACCGTCAGAGACAATAGAGATGAACGAGCCTCCAGCATTTCAACTGGTAGACTAGTTAACCCGTTGCAATAACCGATTCTCAAATCTTTGAGGGAGGTCAGGCCTTTTTGTCCACTAGGAATTGGAATTGTCTCCAAATTATGGCAACCCCCGATGACCAAAGAATCCAAATTCTGTAATTGATGGAGACCGCCATGTATGTCAACTAATTCGGGGCATTTTTCTAGTATCAGTGCCTGAAGGTTCAAGCCATTCAAAACATCTTGAACATGAGTGAGATCTGCCATCCCTTTGATCCAGACAGCTGAGAGGTTGGTTGCATTGCTGCAAATCTTTTTCACTGGCTGAAGCTTGTCAATCTTCTGAATTTTCAAACTCTTCAGACTTGGAAAATTGCTTGGAGCGTTGACCAGGCGGTAGCACTTCTTAATTGTCAAATCCTCAAGAATGGGAAACACTTTAACATCTTCATTACTCTCTCTTCTTGACTCAGCTTGTGCATCCATCCATTCTCTCAGATTTGGCATCTTTGATAGTACGAGACTTTTAAGAGCTGGAAACAATGTGTTTGACACTTCACTGCTGCTGTTGTTTCTTGATGCACGGCGATCGTCCATGTCATAGAAGGAACGTCCAAGGCATGTTAACTTATCTAGGCCATCCAACACGAGAAATTCAAGAGAAGGCAACCTTCCAAGGGCAGGGGCGTCTTCGCACATTTTGCAGTCTACTAATACCAGCTTTACCAATCTGTCAAGTCTTCTTAAGGAGCCATACATATTGTACTTTGCTATGCTCATATTCATCAACCAACGTGGAAATTGGCTCCCCATATAATTTTTCACATATAAAGATTGCAAATTTGGGTGAGGCAGGAGACCTTCCAACACATCTTCATCATTGTAGTCTCCTTCTCGACCGCTACCCCACTCAAATGCCAAATCATTCAAATTTGGCTTACTCAACAAATCTTCCTGGTGTGCTTCTCTTTTAGCATTTACAAATTCGAGGTTGCGTATTAGAATTTGGCCTCTGAGGTTTTTTAAGCATCCTACCTCCTCAATTTTGCAACCTTCCTCCTTGCCTATGTTGAAGAATTGTAATGTTTGAAGACAAGTTAATTGTCCCATCCCTTTTGGCATTCTAAATTTGCTATCAGGAGTGAAAAAAAGAAGATGTCTCAAGTTGATCAAGTTTCTCATCCCATCAGGAAGCTCCTTCAAGGTTGTAGGGTTAAAGTGGTTGCTTAATACCAGTGTCTGCAAATTATATAGCTTGCAAATGGACTCTGGCAAAGCTTTGAACCTTGAGTGTGATAGGTCAAGAAATCGTAAATGGATTAGCTTGCTAATTGAGGTTGGCAGCTCCTGACTAGTCACAAGAGGCAACTGGAGAACACGCAAGTACTTTAATTTCAAGAATACCTCTCCAGACTCTATATTCCCGTTCCCAAGTAAAGTCCGGAGTGAACTTGATCTGCTTTTCAAGTTTTCTTGCGTTTCTCCATCAAATGAAGGCAGCAATAGGTAGCGGCAATTCTCATCGGTGATGCTGTCAGATCTCAATACTGATTGTGCAAGGTCATGCACAAAATCATGCATTGTACAGTTTCTATCGCCTATATGATAAAAGGGGCCGAACATTGCTACCTCTTCAAACAAGGAGCTTTGCAATAAAATGTCGAAGTGCTCCTTGCCTATGTCCTCCAATACCTCATTAAATCTTGGTTGCAGAAAACCTTCTGCCATCCAGAGCAAGGTTAGCTTCTGCCTACTCATGACAGAACCTTTGCCAGCGATTGAGCAGTATGCAAAACACTTTTTGATGGACGCACTTGGCAAATGGTCAAAGCTCAACTTAAGAAGTTGCATCACACTACTTTCTTCCCCACCCAAACGCGCAAACCCACTCTCCAAAATAGCTAGCCACTCCTCTTTCCTCTTGAAACGTAACAAACCTCCAATTACAGTCGCAGCAAGAGGTAGACCTTGACATCTTTTTATTATTCTACTCTTTAGTGCTTCCAATTCTTTTGGTACTTCTCCACTTGGAAACACTTTCTCTTTCACAATCGACCAACAATCATCATCTCCTAATTTACTCAATGAATATGGAGGATGTGTAGCCACACGTGTGGCCACTTCTATATTACGAGTTGTTACAAGAATCCAATTTCCATTTGTAGTGCTAATTCCAACCAAAGAATGAATGAAATCCTCCCACAGCTCAGATCTCTCATTCCATACATCATCAAGTACCAGAAGATATCTTTTTCCTTCAATTTCTCTTCGAACTTCTTGAACTATAGGCTCCCTGCTTTCGACATCGGCTTTTCTCTTTGTTAATGATTCTAGGATCAGTTTGAAAAGCCTCGTAACTTCAAAATTACGAGACACACAAACCCAGATCTTTTTATCGAACTGCCTATTGATTTCTGGATCATTATAGACTAACTGAGCCAAAGTTGTTTTGCCCAACCCCCCCAGGCCTGTTATGGGAATAACAGAGACAACTTTTGCAGACGAGCTCAACAATGTTCCAACTATGTTGGATGCATCGGTGGCTCTTCCAACTACATTTTGACGAGCTATGGAGTCAGTCTCCCGACTCATAGTCATAGCAGGGAGGGGAGATACATATGCACCACCTCCCATTTGGGACCTACTAAGCCCAAAACCAACAGCTTCTTGATTGATAGATTTCAACTTCATGTTGAGATTCTTGACCTTAGAAGCCATTCTCCAACGAAAAGCAAAAGTACAGGAGGTGGAGAAGAAAAGGCATACCTTTTGCTTGAGACGATTTTGAGTCTCCATCCTACGACGAAGAAATTCATAGTTGATCTCATCCAACAGATTATCAGCATCAAAAGCCACTCCTTCAAGCCTCTTCAACCATAGTTGCACGTCCTGGTTCTGCACTTGCTTCTTCTCAGCATCAGCCATGACAGCTTGGATCATGGCAACAGATCCTTTTAGCTTCTCCAACTCCTCCTTGAATCCTCCAAAAGCCACACCAATCACATCAGTGGTGGCAGAAACTAACTTTTCCAAGACAATCTGTATGCTAGCAGCAACCAGTGCGTCAGCCATTGTCCTCTCTTTGGTATGTGGTAGAGTGGAAGGAAGGAGTTTTTTTTCCCTTTTTTCGGTAGCTAAAAATTTATTGCCAGAGGAAATATTGGCGTAGGTAGCATAGGTTTGATCACCTCGAATACATAACACTAAGCAGACGCCAGATTGATTCTTTGCTTGATCAAACTTCCAAAGCATCTTCATGACAAAGTATTTAAATTAGTATCACTTTGAATTCTTAAAACACAAAAACACTAGAATTGGGTGCTTTTCTTTATTCTTTGCCTCGACATAGGGCGCAACGGATCTTCTGTCCCACACCTGTGCCAAATCTCTGTCCCACTTTTTATTATATTGCTATTTGTCCTTCATAAACATCATGTTTTAATTCTTTTTTGCTTCCTTAAGATCCAATAACTATTAATTGAGTAATACACAAAATTTAACAAACTCAAAAAATTAAAATGCATAAAAAATGAGATTTTTTTATGAATTTTCTGCTATATTTTTTAATTTTCTATCATACATAGGGGCTTTGGTTTGGGGAAGCAAGATCATAAAAATATTATATGGAAAAGTATGCATCAAGGGTGGTCTAAACCTTATTCTCTTCATCGTTAAAGAAAAACCAATTAAACTGTATACAAATAAGAAAATGAAGAGTTTGACAATGGTCAAGAATAAGGTTCAAAACTTGGTGCATGTTTATGTATATCATCAAAATTCAGCTATAGTTATGAAATTACTGTAAAGCATTAATAGACATCTGCAGAAGATTAGCTAATATGCTCATGGTCATACCGAAGCAAGGCATTTCTTTCAAGTTTAACAAAACCAAGCACTTGAAGAGTCAAGAAAAAGAGATAGGTCACCTGAGATTAAGATTTACCTTAATGATGAAGACCTCCATTGCCTTTTCTGAACTAACAAGCAATCTACACTTCTGCCATATCATGCCAAAGAAAAGAATCTGGTCAAAATACAGCACTTATCTCACATTCAAAGAACTCCAGAGAAACAATGAAGAAAAATATCCAGGGCCTTTAGATATAGGATAACCTTTTATACATTGTTAGTGTAAAGATTTTTGTTTTTCTTTTACACAAACAGGTTTAGTTCATGCTATATGATATGAATTCAAAGTTGAATTCGAATCATGCACATGAGACATACATCTAAGATTGTTAGTGTAAAAAAATTATTACAGTGTAAAAAAGATTGTTAGTGTAAAAAAATTATTACAGTGTAAGTGCATAAAAAATTAATTTTTATAAATATTAACTGCTATTTAAATTTTTTCCTTGGTTATGATTTCTGAAAATGCATGAGGAACTAATCTACATATGGCTTATTATGCTAGTTCTGCATTTGTGAATGGGGTACCCGCTGAATGGTGCATGGAGCTTTTGATTTCATGAATAGTTCATCTGCAAAATTATTACTACCACCAGGTGCTGGGGCCTCATTTGCACCAAATAGAAAACCCTTGACTGCGTTTGGATTGAGAGATTTGATGGGGCCTCATTTGCACCAAATAGAAAACCCTTGACTGCGTTTGGATTGAGAGATTTGATGTGATAGGTTGCAATTTTATCATTTATTTTTATTATTAATTTCTCTTATTACCTGACATGATGTGGATTAATTGCTATGTTTTACTTACTTTTTAGTATTTTGCATTCATTTCAGGGAGTAGAACGAAATTATGATAATAAGTACCAATTTAGCAGAAAGGGAGCCCAAGTGATAGAGCTTGCCCCAAGGGCATTTTTGAAAAAGAAGATATCACGCCCATTTCGATAATTTCTGCAGAGGAATGACGGACGAAGGGTTTCTTTCACCTAAGAGCCGCCGCACATCTGGGAGGAGGCAGAGGATAAAAACCAAAAGAATAGCAGAGGAAGGAGGCTCTGGCTTGTCCTCTTAGTTTTTCCGTTTCTTTAGTTTTAGCGTAGGATTTTGACTTTTCTTCTCTTAGGAATTTTGGGTAGCTTCTCTACCCATTGTATGTCAGACAAAGAAAAAGCTATCAATTACTTCCTGTGGCTTACGATCTAGTCAACACTTGGACGATTTGAATTGCCCAAATCTCCAAGGACGATGACAGCTGCTTTCTCTTCAATTGCGTGTGGGTTTTTAGCATTCAATATGAACTAATTTTTCCATTCTAGTCAAGAAACGATGGATGTTTTAGATTGTCTAAAAATTATGAGATCGATTTAATTTTATCTTTTACTTTTATTTATTGATATTCGCATATTCCTGATTACAGTGCTTATGATTGTTTAATTAATTGATTGTTTTGGATCCGGATAATTAGTTAATTTGATAATCTATTATCAATTGGGACGTTAAATCCGTAATTGTTTAATTGTCTCAAAATAGTGATAACTGACATGATTGGATTCGTGTCAGGGGGATACACGGGCTAATCTGAAATAACTCTGATAGTGCGTTATTTGATTAGAATAGGGTTCCTTTAATACGTAAGGCAATTGGGAAGTTAAATCATACGGGCGTACCTAGGATTATTTCTCAATTAGAGCAGTGATTAACGGACGTACCTTAATCACCGACACAGTAAGGAGGGGTTGATTGTCATCGCTTGTTTGACAGTTATAACCTATTTATTGGTAAATAATTGTAATTGGCTTTGTATCGATGATCAATTAGGTGAACCATTGCTGAAATTATTCCTTGGCTAAATCCTTAATTATCACTCATTTGATTTTAGTAATTTGTTATTTAATTTTTAGTAGTTTCTTAGATTTTATTTGAACTTCTTTTATTGTCACCTTCTGCACAAAAACACCCCCTTTGTTACTGTGAACTTGAAAAGAAACAATTACTCCCAGTCCCTGTGGATTCGACCCTACTTACCACTATCTACAGAAATTACTTTTAGTTTGAGCAGGTTTTATTATTGCACAGGTTTCGACACCCTGTCAATTTTTGGCGTCGTTGCCGGGGACTGGTGCCAAATTAATTTGTTTCTTTTTGAGTTCATCTTGTTTTTATTTATTTATTTATTTTTCTCTTATTTTTTTTATATAGTTTATGGCTTCTAACACTCCGTATTCTGGTGATAGACTGGATTTTGTTTCCAGGGAAGGCAATGAGGCTTGTTTTTTTCCTGAGTTTGCATATGCAAAGACACTAAACTCTATTAGAGAAAGAATGGCTGCTGCAACCTGTAAAATTTATTATGCCAGGGATCATTCAATCGGTATGTGCCCCGAATATCAAGATAATCTGAGTGTCCCATTCAATAATTATGGAGATTTTTCACCCTGGTCTCAAACGTGGTATAACCCTAATCCAAACGGGTATGATCAAGGATGGTGGGATAACTCCAATTATAATTATACAACGGGGCCAATGAATTTTCAGCAGTATGAGTCTCAAGAATCGTCATCTATGTCAGGTATGTCTCTTGAAGAAATAGTTGAATCAATAGCTACTAATACATACCAATTCCAACAGGAGACACAAATGAGGAATGAGATGATGAAGGATGCAATGAGTTATCTGGCAGATCAACTATGTCTATTGACATCCAGAATAAATCGATTGGCTTCTCAAATAGAAGAATTGCCCTCGAAAACCATTGTTGATCTAGAAGAAAATTAGAGTGCAGTTTGCTTGACTAGTGATGAGGAGATGCAAGAGTGTCAAAATGAGAAATCTACAGATGCAGTTGAAAAAGAAGGCGAAAAGGAAGAAATGGAACTCCAACCGCAACCCATTCAAGTGAAAGAATCCAGTGAAGAATCATCAAATATGGTGACACCACCTCCATTCCCTAACCCGCATTTTCTTAACTCTTACTCCATGATTTCTGTTAATAAGATTGATTTTGTTATACCGGAAGTTTTTGAGTCTCATGGCAGAAATAAGTTAAGAGTAGCTATGATCAAATATTTTAAATCGTTGAGTGCTCTTGATGGAGGAGTGGATGAAGAATTGAGATCACTGCTTGATTATTTGGCGCCATCAACTAGTCCATGGAAGACCGTAACTCGTGTGTTCAAGATTACTCCATCTATGAGGGTTACCAGGATCACATTGAAGATGAAACATTGAAACGAGCCACAAGATTTTATCCTCCATGAGCAAAACATGATAATGTTTAGTCAAAGACATTAAAGAAAGGCGCTCATTAGTAGGCAACCCAATTATTCCTTTTAATTGTTTGTTTTGATTTCGTGTGATAGTTTAAATATGTTTTCCTTGAATTTGACTGATTTCGGGTTTCAATTTTCGTTTTTTATGATTTGTAGGTGTCTTTCTGTCATGACGCGCCCGCGTCATGACGTCTGGAAAGCTCACGGTCAGAATCGTCAAAAGGGATTTCTGCCCTCATGACGTGCCCGCGTCATGTCATATGGAGAGCTCCAGATTCCGTGCCTTCATGACGTGCCCACGTCACATTCGCGGGAAAGGGAAGTATTCAAAAAAAAAACTCAAGAACGGTTATTGATTTTCGGTTAATCTCTAATTTTGAATTTCGAAAATAACATTTGCAAAAAAAAAATGTAAAAAAATTTTTTTTTTTTAAAAAAAACAAAAAAAAAAGAAAAAAAAATTTCAACCGTAGCTAGGTTTGTGAGAACCCTGAAAATATATATACAAATAACATTGCATATTTCATTTGCATTTCTAATTCTCTAATAAATTTTAGCATTACTTTCACTTGTTTGTAAATAAGTGCATAAAACAATTTTCATGTGAAAAATAATATAATTTTTCTAAGTTACGAAATTTCTTTTGTTTTGCTAAACTAAATTAACACCTTTAGAGTTAGAATAATTTTAGCACCCCAACATAAAATATTAAAATACTTAGTCTCCATTATGTTAAATTAATACTACCTGAGCAGATTAATTTTACTACTTTAAAATAAATTACTTGGATTCCAATAATTAACTCCAAATAGATAATAACGTTAAATGTTAATAGAAATTTCACGTTAAGACGAGGCCGATAAAATTTAGATAAAAACAATACAAGTATACTAA